GCCGAGCAGGGAGCCCGATGCGGGACTCGATCCCGGGACTCTAGGATCATGACCTGAGCCAAAGGCAGCCGCTTAACCAACTGAGCCACCCAGGCGCCCCTGCACAGCTCCATTTAAATTAATTGCCTAAATACCTTTTTATCTCATTGCCTAGAACAGCCCATATGAGGACAATAAAAGAGCTGCCTAAATAAACACATAATAGCCTTGAAAAAATAGCCTTGAATCTGTTGTTTGGCGTGTGTTTGTTTTTTTCTCCCCCAGCTAAAAAGAAGCATGGTTTATGAATTTCCCTGAAGGACTGGTAATACCTGAGGAAATTGCCTTAAAAAATAGATACAAATAAAATTACTTCTGATCCAAAGCAGTCCAAGTCAGGAAACATCAGCTAGAAGCTGACTCTACCAGTTACTCTTGGTTCTGGCATTGCACTTTCTGTAACCGCGGGAGTTCCAGTCCCAGTGTCCGTCAGCTCGTAGTCCCTGATCTGGTGGCTGTCATGCTTGGTTTTTCATTCTATGTTTTTATCCCATTAGGCCATCCCTTAACAATTCTGGAAGCATGCTGGGTGCCATCCAGCATCAGATTGCATACACTTGCTAACATCTTGGAAGTTTCTTCACTCTCCCAATAACCATTTTACAGAGGAACCTGAAAGCAACTTTATATTCATCTGTCAACCATGGGGGAAGCACCTCTCCAAGGCCCTTGGGATTTCTCTGTAATACTCTAACAAGAGTCCTACAGCAGACCCCACAAAATGGTCAGCTCAAGGAGAGAAAGGCAGAGATACAGAAAGGGAAGTCCTGAGCCTCCCTTGCCAATCTGGATAAACTTTGAACAAAATGTGCAAGTGGTAGGGTTGAAGAGAGAATGGGAGATTCAACATGAGTATTCTCCTGGGCCTAGACATGAGTTCATTAGTCATTATCAGTCATTATCACCATGATCCCTAAAAAAAAAAAAAAAAAGAGTCTAGATTTTTTTCAATGTGTGGAGCTGCCCCTGACTTATGACACAAGTATTTCAGTCTTTGGGAAGGTCTCAGGTGGAAACAGACACAGGTGAGGGAAATATAAACATACCAGGATAATATGTTGCACAAACCAGTAGTAATGTCTAGCATTTAAAAAGCACAAAAGGCATCTTACATGTTCCATCTCTAATTCTTATAATAGTGCTGTGAGGTTTACGATTATCTTGTATTAGAGATGAGGAAACAAGCCAAAAATGGTGAGGTGACTTGCCTAAGAGTTAATGATTAGAACCTACATGTGCCTGGCTGCAAAGCCTAGACTCTTCCAATTATACCATGCCGCCTTCCGTGTTAGGTGGGTCAAACGGGGGGAGAGATTTAAGGTATGACCTCATCTAGGACTCTCCACCATCTATAAGCTACCCAAATGTCATACAAAGAAAGGAATTTGGAGGTTAAAACCACAAGCTTTAATGTTAGACACATCTCAGTTGAAATCCCAGCTGTTCATAGATTGTGTGATTTTTGCAGTGGTGTGTTAGTAAATGTTTAAGCACCAGCATGTGTGTGTGTGTGTGTGTGTGTGTGTGTATACTGTGTATATACACAAGTGTATTGTAAACTTCACTGATATAAAGGATGTATAGCACATAATTTACAAAGAATAATAACATATACAGTGCTCCTTATTGTAAATTCTATATAGCCAACTGATTCTCACAGGATGCTTTTGTTTGCAAACGAACTTATATGAAAGCTAACTGATATTTTCACTTATGTTAAGGTGTAACACAAAAGTGGAAAATACCTCCAGACTTATGTCAGAGCATTACTCATTCATCATCGATGTGAGTGACTTCTGTGCTAAATGGAATACTAGAATATTTAGAAGAACATTTTGAATATCAGAAGAATATTTCCTCAATTTGGTGTGCTATTATTCACAATGTAACAGCTACAGACAGGCTACATTTTTAAAGTTAATCTGCATTTCAAAATATGTTTTTCCTCGTTTTCTTAAGACTCCAGTTGATAAAAAAATAAATCAAGCCCTAGTTTGTAGCATCTGATGACTCCCATGGTGTAAAACTTCTACCTTGGTCTAAGTGCCATTACAGAATGTGAAGTTGAGAAGAGTTAATCAGGAGCTATCCACACAACTATATAGTGTTTTCACAGAGACAAATACACATAATTTCAAGAACATAAGTAATAATAAATTGTAGTAAAATATGAGTGATGAGTTTTGAGTCTCTATTACCTTTGTTTTTAATATATTTACCGTAAATCTATATAATTTAGTTTTAAGTAATGGCTATATTTAATAACCAGCTCACAAATTTCCTGAACATTTGACATTTGGCTCCCCATAGGCTGCTTAGAACCAGCTCCAACACACCACTGGTTCCTAGGAAGGTCATATAATGTCTCTGAGCTTTAGTGCTCCTTCTTGCAATGGGTGAGTAATGTCACTGACCAATGCCAATAAGTAAATAGCAACAAATAATTATTATTTCTATCCATTGTATAATTATTACTTTATTACTATCCATAGCAAATGCTTATGTAAGATTAATTTCCCCCTGCTCTCAGCACTCAATGATCAGTATTTCGTTTCACCCCTTCTATCTACGCTCTGGGAATGCGGTCAACACACACGCACACACACACACACACAAAACCATAAACTACCAAACAGAATGTAAACAGCTCTAGGTTCCTTCTTGTTTGGATGTTAAGCAAAGCTACCCAGAGTGACCAATGTGTCCCTGCATACACAGGTGCCAGGAAAGCCACAGAATACGGGTTACCGCTGCAATGACTCAGCGGGGTCTTGTGTGTTTCCGGAAGAGAGGAGAGGCTCTCTACACAGACAGCGTATGTACTCCCACCCTTCTGACCAACAGCCACCACAGCAGCTCCCTTGGCTTCACCTGCTCAGCCTTCTGGTGGAACACCGCAGACATGGCCAGGATGGTGCTGCGTTCATCCAGGGCAGCCGCGAAGCTCTTCCACTCCTGGTCCAGCTGTGTGGAAATCTGCTTGATTTGCTGCGAGGCATAATGACCGGCCTCGGAGAGGCGGGAAGCCACGGACATGATGCGGTTGATGTTGACATAGGCATTCTGGGAAGCAGAGGAGAGGGAGCGCTTAGTGGGGCAAGCTAGAACAACACCCACTGAGCACTTTTGGGAGTGGGTATTTGGGGAAGGAGCCTACTCAAAACAAAACGTCTGAGAGAGGCTAGTGTAGGCCACATTAGTGTACCCATTTCTGGATACACTAGGGAAGGAGAAAGACTTCCTGCAACATAAAATTTCAACTGATAGGAGGTACAGTAACTGAGATCTTTCCTTCTGGGGACCAACATAATTTTTATGTCAACTATGTGGTTGCTTTACTTGGACGGCCTTAGTAACCCCCACACTCAACGAGGTCATGTCACAGGAGCATGGTGCTTCTGTGGAGCATCTTAGAAGCATGGCGCTTTTAAGAAGCACTCTCTGGAAGTAGAGGCTCGAACTAGGGCGAAGGCACCTCTCTTGCTCAGGAGAGAGTTAGACTCAGGGCATTACGGCTACCTACAACGGGCAGTGGTGTTCATCAAAAAGAGCAAAGAACACATGTCCCGTGACGTCTACACATCTTCCTATTGCCAAGAGAAGAATTTGCTGAAGCCCTGCTCCTCTCCCTACCAAAAAAGCTGGGACGCTAGCCATCAGTCAAGATTTAAATAAAGAGAGCATTGGAAGCAACAATATTCTTCCATGCTAAAAATCTACATCTGAAACCAATGATGTACTATATGTTGGCTAATTGAATTTAAATTAAAAAAACAAACGAACAAACAGTGGAATCCCTTCTTATCCTTACTAGACTTAGGGATATTTCCCTACCTAACCCCAAAAAGGCATCTGTGGGTTATCCCAAAAAAGCATCTGTAGGGCTCTCCTGGCCCTGCTAACTTCGCTCATCATGTGCTTTGTTTACAATCATTCCCATCTTTGATTGCCAATTAAAAATTCATGACCAAGTGTGTTGTTTCCTACCAGGCCAACAGAAAACCCTCCAAGAAGGAACAAGACAAAAGAAAAACCCCACAAACCTAAGACAGTAGCAAGCATGATTATTTTTAACTGCTACCTCTTATTGATTGTCTGAGGTGTCAAAACAATCAAGTAATATTGTGGCATCCACAGGGAGCTTTTCTGAATCACAAAATGTCTGCCTGAAAAAGGACTAGGGCAGCAAGTTGCTTGCGCACCTTTGTTCTTTGTTACAAATCTTCTTAAATGACAAGAAATATTCTTCAGCAATGGCATTTTCTCCTGGCTCTATTATGAGCTCAGGAATAGTTTATTAATACTGGGTAAATGAAGGTTCTTTATTTTCCTTCCCCTCCTCCTTCATGGTCCCTATTCATCTTAACTGTCCCTGACCTCAAGTCCTCCATCCCAAACCTGAGCCAGGTTGATAAGGCCTCTCTTCTTTTAAAAGGCCTCTGTAGAAGTTTAAACGGTTAAATGTAGTGCTCAAACACAAATCCATCCTGATGTCTAATGACCTCTATGTGTAATCTCTTTCTTTAGTCTGGCCTAAGACCTTTCTGACGCAGTACATTTCCTTAATAGAGCTAGAATATTACTGACTCTTGTTATTTGAAATAAATATCCTTCAAAGATTTAGGAATCATTACCAGCCTTGTTTTCTGAGTTAGGACACAGATTCTCCTTAAAATTAAGCTCTATTTATAGAACTGATAGAAAAACCAACTCTGTACTTGGAAAGAAAAGAGAGAGAGAGAAAAAGGCATGTACTGATTTTAACAGTTCTGTCTTCTAAAGGAATGACATTTGGATTCCCCCAAATTTCCTGCTTGTGTCATTGCCTTAGTTTGGGTTGCCTCCAAAGCAGACCTTGAGACAAGGATTTGGGTTGGATGACTTATTTGGAAGTGACTGCAGAAAGCAAGGTGAGGGAGTGAGCAAGTCAAAGAAAAAAGGAAAGAAAATGAATAAAGGATGTGTTTATTAATGGGCTAGTGCTACAAGCGCATCCCTCCTGAAGCCTTTTAAGCAACTGTGTAGAACAACTCCTGGGCTGTCTCACCGGGAGGTGAGGTATCTGGGGCATTTATGCACCAAGTCCGATTGCTCATGGTTGAGGGTTCCTTTGGAGTAATTCCATTTCCAGCCTGACCTACACAGAGGCCAAGCACACCTCCCAGGTCAGAGAGTGACCATGGCCAGAGAAATGCAGGAAGCGATCAGTTTATATGGGAGCCACCTGCATTTGACCTTTAGGGCCAGCTGAGGGGATGCAGGTGTGACACTGATGGTGTGTGATAGAGCTGTCCTTCCAAACTGGATTCAAATCCGGAAAACCTTCTTCCCCGTCCCACATTTATCCAGATTTATCTAGTGTTATTGGGTTTTCCTGTCCTGGGAAAGTCTTTGTGTGCTTTGGCCAGATGGGAAGCAAGAAAAGCAGTAAGAGCTGGGCACCAGCCTCTCCCCAGCATCCCTCATGGTCATCTTATGGATACCTGGCCCTTTGTCATCACTGCCTGTTTACATTCGCTCCCCACAGAGAACACAGGGAGGCACACTTCTGCTCACTTTAGGAAGAACTTTCTAACTATTAGAGATGTCTAACTGTGGCTGCCTCTGGAGGGTGTTAACACTTTGTCACTCATTCAAGTATTTATGGAGAGTTGGCCAGGCTCTGTGTTGGGGGCTGTGGGAGATCAAAGAGGAATGAGACAGGATTCCTGCCCTCAGGGGCTCACAGCTGAGACAAGAAAAGTCCTCATATAACTGCAATTTAGAGCAAAATGAAGTAAGTGTTTCTGCAGAGGCGGAGGCAACTCGCTGTGGGGATGCAGAGGAAAGGGATCAGAACCACTGGCGTCGATGTTGGGAAGGGGCTTCCTGCACAGAAGGGGGTGGTGAGGTTGGTGGTCCTCCAAGGTCCCCTTCAACCCCGAAGCCTGTTATCACAAATGAAAGCTAAAAACAAACAAACAAAAGACCACAGCTTACATTTCACATTCTGGAGACCAGCACAGTAAATGCCTTTTTGTTTCCTTATCAGTGGGCAGAGAAATGTCTTACTAAAACTAACAGATGATTATGCTTCACAAAAGAAGTAGAGGGAGTATTCCTCACAAGAGAGGGATAAATATAATGTTGACTCATGAATTTGCTCATTATTCTTCTCTACAGCCCCCTTTCAAAATAGCTAAACGCTGCAGGCAAGTCACGTGGCCCCGGTTCATCATCATCACCTTCTTCAACTGCCTTCAGCCTAGAACCTGAGACAAATGCGCAGCTAGATTCTAAACAGTAGCCAAAAACCAAATGAAAAGAGAGGAATGGTAGAGAAGGTCTCCAATGACTTGAAAAGAAAGAGCCAGGTTAGAGAGCTGGGTTAAGAGTGAATAAATAGGGGTGCTTAGTCATTATGCATAAATGACATGTCATGGCCTTTGGTCAATCCATCCCTGTGGTTCTTCTGTGTCACTGTTTATGCCTCCATTAAGGAGCATTTGGGAGTCAGGTTTGTCTTGGGGACGTGGCCAATAGGAATAGATATTTTCATTCTTTACGGCCTTTCCATTCCCTACCGGGGGTGTCCTCCACTCCCTCCAATCTGGCCCTGCTCTTCTTCCTTGCCAGCCTAAAATGCCCTTTCATCTGCAGAGCTAGAGCTGTCCATCAGTCAAGGGCATCAAATTCACTTGGCCAGGAGTCAGGAGACAAGAGTTCTGGTCCAGCTCTAACACTCCCCTGAGATGTCACTTGCCTCCCCTGTGCCGCAGGTTCTTTATCCTTAAAAGGAGGGTGTTGAACTAAATAATCTCAGACATTCTATTTGAGTAAGCACGGTCAGCTCCAGATTGAATGTAGAAAGAACACAGGAGGCCACAGTGTTCTTCTGTCCTATTTATTTATTTATTTATTTATTTATTTATTTATTTTAGAGAAAGAAAGAGAGCAAGCAGGGGAGGGGAAGAGGGAGGGAGAGAGAATCCCAACCAGGCTCCACGTCTATCTGACATGGAGCTCGATCATGTCGACATGGAACCCCACATGGGGTTCGATCCCACAACCCTGAGATCACGACCTGAACCGAAATGAAGAGTTGGAGGCCCAACCGGCTGAGCCACCCAGGCACCCCTCTTCTGTCTTATCTTCAGCGCTGACTAGGGGAATACTGACTAAATCTATTCCCCTCCCCAAACCCTCTTCTATGAGGAAAGGCATAAACTGAAGAAACAAGGGTAACTCAAAGATTTCAAGTGTCCATGTGCAACAGGAATGTTTTCAACAAAAATCCAACATGATCTGATTTATGCGTTTAAAAGACTACTCTGCGCTCAAGGGTCAGCAAGGAGAATTCTGCACGGGGTGAGACAGGGAGAATAGTGCTGCCTACCCTGGAGTGGTCATAGCCCAGCCTCGGCTGTCCACATGTCTCTGCCCTTCATCATGGTTCTGCTCTCTAGTCTGTCATGTGTGGGCCATGGCTGCAGCTGGGTCCCCTGAGTTCTTCAGCCTCCAAGTGACCAAGGACCAGATGCTTCCCTCCCCCTCTCCTCATCGGACCCTTCCCTTGAGCTGAGCTGTCTAGACTAACCAGTTTCCCTGGCCAGAAGTTAGTAATGTGACTAGTAATTCCAGTTTCATGAGTATTTTCTTAAGTCCTTACCTCAAAACTGCTTTATTAATTTAAATCCCCCATATATATGCAGTGCAATTTACATTATCATTATTCACAGTATCGCATAGTCCAAGATGTAAACAGGATCTACTCTTCAAAATGCAATGCACCTGCAGCATGGAGTGAGGCATGACCCACCCCGTCCAACCTGCCACCCTGCCAGGGCCTCTCCCTCCCACCATCACTTTGGTCACAAATAGAAAATACAATTAAATCGCAGCAAAAATCTCGCTAACTCAAAAGCCCTCTATACTTAACACCCTCCCTCTGCTTTTGTTGCCTAAATTTTGTTTTCCTGTTTCATTCCTGCAGTCATTAATTGGACATCACAGGATGGATGGCCCTTCTCCCAAGACCTTGCCCCCTGCTGTGAATAACTGAAATTAGTGAAGCAAGCGGTCAC